CCCCAAAGACGAAGCCTGGGGCAGGGGGGTCGATGGACCCTCTCCCCTCCCCGCCCCCACGAGGAGCTTAACGGGCGAAGAACGGTATAAAATAGACTTTTTCGCTGTCGGGGGCGCCTGTCCCTGGGCGGCTGGAAAGTTTATACCCTTACGGTGGCACCGTAGGGGTATAAACTTTCCAGCCGCCCTGGGACAGGCGCCCCCGACAGCGAAAAAGTCTATGTTATACCGTTCTCCGCCCGTTAAGGAGCCCCCACCTCCCCGCTCGCCCAAGCGCGGTAGCGCAATCGTGCGGCGTCGCAGCTTGAGCGTTGCTGTGCCTCGCCCTGCTTCTGCGCTCTTGCGATGGGGGCAGACAGTGAAGTTCCAGGGCCGAGCAGGTCCCAGTTTCTTTCTGTCCTCTCGCGAGAACGGCCGTTGCTGGGGAGAGGGGGGGCAGGGGGCCGGTGACGCCACAGCCGTCGGCGGCGCCGTCTGGGAATGGGCCACTCCTGGTCCCAGCCGTTCCCAGACGGCGCCAGCGCGAATCGTGACGTTGCCAGGGGGAGGAGGGAGGGGGGCGGGAGCGTCCCCGGTAACGGTTGATATCGCGAATCATTCAGAAATGTTTCAGATTCTCGAGCAGTGGCGAAACGTCTTGGCTTGCCTATAGATCCACCAGAGGATGCTATACTAACCCTTGTGTGGTCTGCACGAAAGGTTCGTAGAACATTGCTGGCTGAGACTGTCCTGTTTTTAGCGCACCCGGCTTATGTTCTAAGGACACTGTTCAGGAGGGGAAAAACACAGACACAAATTATCGTCGATTCCCCGGAAAATATGGGAAAATAGCGACAGTGGAGGGGAAGACGAAGATCCAGGACATATGCAAACATGTGGGGCATCGTGGGATTTGTGTGTAAGTGTGTATCTATTTGCGTGCCCCTGGGCCTCTTTCACTGTTTTGGCCCTCCGAGCGTTTTTGGGCCCCGAGAGCATGTCGTGGTAGGCCTATCGGGATGCCGGGGCGGTCGGCCCCTGCTCGAGATACTGTCGGGGCCCTGAGGGAGGAACCCTTTTCGTTGGGGAGGGGCTCGGTGCTCCTTAGTTTTTTTGCAGTTCGCCTTTGGTTTTCCAAAGGTTCTCGATGTGAAATCGAAGGTTATCTTATGGAAAAAAGGGGCCTCGTTCCTTATTTAGGGTTCCTTAGGTCAGCGCCCCGACTGTACTGGTCTCCCTCGGTGCAGGAGGACCTGCCGGGCGGCGCGGCCGCGCACGCCGAGGCGGGGGACGCGGAGGGCCCACCGAAGGCGCGCGGGGAGGCCCGCCGCCTGAAGGCACAGGCCGCCGGAGCCGAGGCCCGCGCGCGCAGCGTGTCCCGCGAGCAGCTCGTCCGCGCGGTCGACGCGGAGGACGGAGGTGCGACGAGAAGTGGGGGGACGAGTGGAGGGTTTCTCCGAAGGGCTTAGGCGACCCCTCCTCCTCCTCCTCCTCCTCCTCCTCCTCCTCCTCCTCCTCCTCCTCCTCCTCCTCCTCCTCCTCCTCCTCCTCCTCCTCCACCTCCACCTCCTCCTCCTCCTCCACCTCTTCCTCCTCCTCCTCCTCCTCCTCCTCCTCCTTCGGGGGGGGATAGAGATTTACCGAGCGCGTTCCACTACTCGCAAAGTGTCTGCTCGCAAGCGTCTGAGAGACAGACGTCTGCTTCGGTGAATTGTCTCGCATGATCCCCCGCGGCGGATCCAGGCCATCTGCGAGTAGTCACTTTGCGAGGAGTGGAACGCGCTCGTCTAGATATAGCGCAGGCGGAGGGTGCGGAGGCGAGCAGGGTCGGGTCCGGACGAGAGAAGGTGCGGAGAGGCGGGCGGAGGCGGGTCGGGCGAGAGGGGGGGGGGGTGTTCTGGGGCAGAGGGGGCACGAGAGGGGGCTGCCTGCGGCCGCTATTCGTCCCCGCCTTCTGGGCGCTTCTGCCTCGGTGCACCCGGCACCTGCGGTGCCCAGGAAGAGGCGGAGGAGGAGGAAGAGGACGAGAGGAGGAGGGAGGTGGACGAGGAGGATGGGGAGGAGGAGGAGGAGGAGGAGGAGGAGGAGGAGGAGGAGGAGGTGCGCTTCGTGGGGGCGCGTCGCCACGGGTCGGGAGGGGGAGAGGGGGAACGGCAGCGGCGCGCCGCCGTCGGGGGCCCGTCCGCGTGTTGCTCCCGGGTGGTTTGGCCTGGAGGGTTGCGTCGGGCCTGTGCCTCTGCAGGAGGAATATTCCAAAGTATCGGGGGTGGACAGAACCCCCAACAGTAACACGTCGATTAGTGAATTGTCCGTGTTCGGTTCTCGAGAGGGCGCCGTGGCCGTCATTTTCCAGGCCTGCGCCCGCCAGGTTTGGGCCTCAGGTCGTTTTCACTAAACCGAAGTAGCCTGGGGACTATGTTTGGAGTCTTTCCGAACCATTCGGGGGCCTTTTTTGGGGATTTTTCGTTGAAGATCCTCCTTTGGGGAGACAGGCCCGACTTGACTGGAGGCCCGATGCACGCCGGTAGCCCTCGCCACGGCGGCGTGGAGAGGGGCCCAGCAGCGCGCCCGGGCCCCCCGAAGGTTCGGAGGTGGGTAGGCCTCCTACCCTGACGCGTCGATCAAGGAATTGGTCGTTCGCGTCGATCAAGGAATTGGCCTCCTACCCTGACGCGTCGATCAAGGAATTGGGAATCCTGTTAATTTGTATCCATTCACTCGCGTGTCCCAAAAGCCCCTTCCAAGGAGCAGGAGCCAAGACGTTTCGGAGATGTCGTGGCCCAGGCCACGATATCCGCACACCCCTGGCCCGCACCCCCCTCCTGGGATCGGAGGTGGACAGACCTCCTACCCTGACGCGTCGATCAAGGAATTGGCCGTCTTCGGTTCGCGGGAGGGCGTCGCGGCCGTCATTTTTGCGGGTCCAGGTCTGTCGGTTTCGATCCCAGGCCGTTTTCACTGAGGGGAGGTTTACTAAAGGGAGGTCTGTCCACCGCCGAAAGGTGGACCTGCCACCAATGGGTTGAATGAGAGAGAGAGCAGGAGGCATGCGAATGCGTGCCTGGGCCATGCCGAAAGCCTCACGGTGCCGATGATGTCCTGTTGCACTCCGTTGATCGACCTTTTGCAGCCCGAGTTGGGAGGGAGAGAAGGGGCAGGATGAGAAAGAGGAGGGAGAGAGAAGGAGGAGGATGTGGGAGAGAAGGAGGAAGCGGAGTACGCGCGGAAGCTATATGCAGGGCAACAGAGCCCCTCCTGCTTTGCAGGCCGCCTGTCAGCACCCCAAGCCACGGCAGCTCGCCTTGCTCCGTCGTCGGAAGCTGCCTTGGCCTCGGGGGGTGGACTTCTGCACCCCTTGGCCCCTCGCTGGGGCTGCAGAATGGTGGCGGCCTTAGCTTCCCGCACTTATCCTTATATTATATTATATCCGCCCTCGGCGACTCGCTCATCGAACGGGATTGGTCATGATCGCTGCTGCTGCAAAAGAATAATAATAGTAATGGTATTAATAGTACTAAGCATGCGAACCATACTGCGAAGACGAAGACTATACTCATACGAGTATTAATGCGATCAGTAGGAAGAGCGATACGAAACTAATATTATTAATGCTTCTATAGAATAATATGGCTGATAATGCGAATCATAATGCGAAGACGAATAATAAGACCCATCCGGTTAATAATGCGAATAGTAGGAAGAAAGGCACGCAACTCTTTTAAACTAATTCGATGAATCGTATTAACAAGCATACGACGAATAATCATAGAGTCGTACTAAGAAAAAGAAGATCATTTTTACCAATAACACTAATGGGGCGAATACTAAGAACAACAATATCAATGATCATACTAATAATGCCATTACTATGAACGGTAATGATGTTACTCATGAAAAGAAGTAATATGGATAAGAGTAATAAGGGGATGAATAAGAGGAGGACGAGGAGGAGCAGGAGGAGGATGAGGAGGAGGAGCCTTGTCGTGTCGTGCGTCGTGTCGTGTCTTTTCGTGTCGTTGTGTCGGGTCGTCGTCGGGCCGCGTCGTGTGGTGCTGTCGCCCTTGCCCCCGGTCGGTCGTCGCGTTCGCTTCCGCTTGGGTTCCGCTGCTTCCTCGCCTTTTCTCTTTCGCTCCTCATTGTTCCCTTTCTCCTGCTCTTTCCCCCTCGTTTGTCCCCCTTTCTTCTGTTCTCTTTCTTCTTCCCCGCTGGCTGGCTCCTCTTTCCCTGTCCCTGCTCCGCTTCGGCTTCGTCCCGCTCCTGGCTTCGCCCTTCCCTCCCTCCCTGGGTTCGTCCCCCTTTGCCCTTGGGCCTGGCGTCCCCGCGTGTCCTCCTGATGGCTCGCCCCGTCTGGTGGATATGCGGAGTACTATGGGCCTGTGTCTCCATGGGTACGTCATTGAGTCATGTATCACTGCGTGAGTTTGGGCGCAATCAGTCGCATGCCATCCGTTGCATGCCACCCGCGCCAGTGCCAGTCGTGGTGCTGACAAGGATGGCATACAATGAGCTTGAATGGCACAGGTCGTTTCCATTTGCTGGGCCCGCCAAGCAGTGGAGCGCGGACTCGCAACAGAGAGCGTGACGATCGCGCCAGATGTGTTGTTCCCCACGCAGTGCTTGCACTTAGGGCACCTTCTTTCTTTTCTCAGGAACTGGGCCTGCGGGGCCGGTCTGGCGGCTCCGTGCCCGCCGTCGCCGCCCCGTCGCCGCCTCGTCGCCGCCCGTCGGCTGGGCCTGCGGGCCGGTCCGGCGGCTCCCGCGGCTCCGTGCTCGCTGTCGCCGCCCCGTCGTTGCCGCTTGGCACTGCGCTGTTTCGCCCTGCTTTGCATTGCTCTGCACTGCATTGCTCTGAATTGTGTTGCTTTGCCTTTAGGTGGCCAAATGCGAACCCTACCCCTGCCCCCTACGATTTTTGAGGGGGAGGGTGGGGTTCACTTCGTTCGAGCGCTCCCGAGCGATGTGAACCCCACCCTCCCCTTCAGAAATCGTGGGGGGTAGGGTTAGGGTTCGCATGTGGCCACCTAGCCTTGCTTTCCGTTGTTTTGCGGTGCTTTGCATAGCATTGCTTTTCATTGATGTGCGTTGCTTTGCGTTGCTTTGCATTGATTAGCTTTGCTTCGCACTGCCGTGCGTTGCCTTTGCCACATAGATTGCAACGCAGATGTTGCACCACATCGAATGCGCCGTATACTTTGTTCACCATGATTTGCCCAACATACAGTGCACGACATGAACTGCACAACGTAGATAGTGCGACATATGCTGCTCAACGTAGATGGTACCACATAGATCGAGATTGCACCACAAGCATTGCACCACGTACTCCAGATTTCGTAATTTTAATAAAAGGGAGGGGGTCTCGTTTCGGGGGGGGGTCTCTTCCAGGCTATCTTGGAGGGCCTGGGGGGGTCTGGGGACGATGTTTTGGAGGGTTCTCCCACGGGGGAGGTCTGAAATGGCTTGTCTTGGAGGGTTCAGACCCCCTCCCTTTTATTACGAAAACTGGAGTAGATGGTACCACATAGATCGAGATTGCACCACAAGTATTGCACCACGTACATCGCACCACGCATATTGCTCCACATCGATTGCCTAACACATTTTGCTACAACACACGCTGTTGGGGGCCCACGCTGGCTAGCCTCGAACATACCACGGCACAATCGTGGGAGGAGGAGGGGGAGGAGGAGGAGCAGGAAGATGAGGAGGAGGAGGAGGAGGAGGGGGAGGAGGGGGAGGAGGAGGAGGAGGAGGAGGAGGAGGAGGAGGAGGAGGAAATGGACGAACATGAGGATAAGGAGGATGAGGAGGCGGAGGAGGAGGTGGAGGAGGAGGAGGAGGAGGAGGAAAAGGAGGAGGAGGAGAAGGAGGAGGAGGAGAAGGAGGAGGAGGAGGAGGAGGAGGACTGAAGTGAGCAGGCCGAGGACTGGGAGGCCCAGGGAGCCAGAGGAGGAGGGGGCCTGGCCGAGCCCAGGAGCACGGGCAGGGCGGCGGCGTCCTCTGCGTGGTCCGGGCCGTCGACTGGCCCCGCGAGTCGCTGTCGCCCAGGGCGCGGGTGACGGAGGTGCACCACCCACAAATCAAGGGCATAAACAAAAACGCCCCTACCCTGGTTTACGAGGCGCGGTGCGCTGAAACTCCTGTGGGCTGACAGGGTAATCCCTGCGTGATGTGCCGCGTCCTGGTTGCTCTAGGCTTTTGGGGTTCCCAGGAGGTTTACAGACCACGCACTTGTAACCCAGGGTAGGGTCGTTTTTTTCATCCCTCAAATAAAGCGACGCGAAGATCGGGACAAAATCGGATCGGGGCAGCTCGAAGTCTCCGAGAGTCGGCGGGTTTGGAGGACGTATGGGGCGCCGCGGCCGCTCCAGAGCGTTCCGGAACGCTCTGAGAGCGCTCCGGAACGCTCTGGAGCGATTTATCCCGATCCTAGCCCTGTTTTAACCCACCAAACCACCCCAGCCCAACCCGAAGGCCTCAACCTGCCCTCCGTTTCCAGTGGGGGAGGGGTCGGGGAACACGGAGAAATCAAGCGTGGAACCCGTGCGTAGCCCCCCCCCCCCCAACCCGAGGTTCGGGCCGAAGCCAGGTCTTCGGGTCGGGTTTGGGGTGGCCTGGCAGTGTCGTCGGAGGTGCTGGGCCCGCTGGGCAGCGCCGCGGCCGAGTCCGACGCGCTCCTGGCCTTCTACGGGCTGGAGTGGCGGGGCTTCGACCAGGCGGGGGCCGGCCGCCGTGGCACCGTGGCGCCCCGGCCAAGAGGGCGGGCCGACGGCCCAGCCACGCTCCCGGGCCAGGGAGCGGAGGCCCACGCCAGGGAGCGCCCTGCGCTTCCTCCTCCTCCTCCTCCTCCGCCTCCTCCTCCTCCTCCTCCTCCTCCTCCTCCTCCTCCTCCTCCAGCGCGTCTTGGGGGCCCTCCTGGGGCCGTCCTGGGGCCGTCGTGGGGTCATCCGAGGCCACGCGGAGGCCATCCTTCTAGGCCTCCTAGATGGGGTCGGAGTAGATGGGGTCGGAGGATCGCCCCGAATCGTCGATGCATCGCCGATGCGGCTCGATGTGCAGCCCGATTTGCTCCACGTCGACGTCGCCGATGCCTCGCCCACGTCGACGATGCATCGCCGGTGCATCGCTGATGCATCGCCCATACATCGCCGATGCATCGCCGATGTATCGGCGATGCGGGGCGATCCTCCGACCCCATCTACTCCGACCCCATCTAGGAGGCCTCTCGCCGATGCATCGCCGATGCGGGGCGATCCTCCGACCCCATCTACTCCGACCCTATCTAGGAGGCCTCTAATCCTGGGCCGTCCTGGAGCATTCTTGGAACCAGCTTGAGCCACACAGTGGAGACCCGTGCCAAGAAACACCCTGCTCGCCTGCAGGGTGCCCTGGTTTTCTCGGGTTTCGATGGCACCCTGCTTGCCTCAAGGGTGCCTGGATGGTTTTGCTGTGGAAAGCGTGACGTTCCCGCACCACAAATCAGTGGACGTCCTGGGGTCTCAGAGGTCGGGTTTCTTGCGG